AGACTACACTTAAACTCTCTTAAACATTTACTACTCCTGGTCAGTTCACCAAACTCTCATCCTCTGACGAATCGTTGAACCAGAACTCATTGTACTCATTTTACCACGTTTTTATAAATATAAATATGTATAAGCACACTATTTAGTTTGCTCGATTTGTAAACAAAGCTTCTCAGCGGTGAAAAATATACTATTGTGAACAACCTAAAGGAGCGAAATTCACAATAGCGCTATTCTTCATCGAATGAGCGCCATAATGCCAAATGAAAATTCGTTCGCTCAGCACTTTCGACCACAGTCGAAAATCTAATGCAACTCATAATAGGGGCCATATATCACATTAGCAACACTCGCCAAAATCTCTTTGGGGAATTTGTATGCTGTTAACACAACAACAACAACAACAAAGTTTACGCGCATAACCACCGGACATTGACGAGACGGAGCTTCATCTGCCTCGCTCTGGCTACTGCAGAAGGTTAACGCAGATGTACCAAATGAGTGTCCGGCATGCGGAGAGACACCCCATGACTCGAAAAATCTCTTCGTATTCCCGGAAAACTCGACAACCCTAACGCCTGTGTCCCTGTGGACCGACCCTATTGAGGCTGCACACTTCTTAGGGCTGCCGTTAGTGGAACTTGTCGACAACGACTGAGATATTAACCGATCTTGGCGGGGTTGTTGTAGCCGCTACAACAACAAACAACAAAGTTTACGCATTTTAGGAGGTGTATATAGCTGACTCAACTTTTGGAGGTCGATTACGAGATGATAATGAAAACAAATAATTTTGTAGTGTATCATTTTAACCAAGGATGATCCTGGGTTACAGTTTGCTGTTGCTATCTTCCATATTGACTCTTAGAAAGGGAAGACCACATTCCGTTAATATATTTTTATTAGGTGACGTTGGGAATGCTCGGAGCGATCTCCTTACAGCTGAGTGGTACGGGGCAGCAAGCAACTTTAGATGGTTTTTAGAATGATGTCCATAGATTTCAAGAGCGTAATTGATGACGGAGAGTACCAGTGCCTTGATAACATTAATGAGCAGTGCTGGGCCAATGAACGAGCGCTTGCATGATAGGTGCTAGAGATGGGCGCGTGAGTAACTTTGGCTCACGTTCACGCACGCTCACGTTGATGGTTGCTTAAATCACGCACACTCACGTCCTGCTATATTTTTTTCAATCACATTCACGCACGCTCACGACGCTCACACACGGTTTCTCGCGGACATTTTTTTGAAATTGAAACTTCATTTATATAAATAGTATTTCATATAAATAGCCTTTTATCACACAAGTATTATTACAAAAGCTTGGCCAAACGCCGTGCAAGGGCTGAAGGCACTATTATTATTTTAACAAATTTCATATATACTTATGTATCTATTACTAGTATAAAAAAGAATTGGTATCAATATTTATTCAATGTACATATGTAATTTTAAAATGACATTAGCTCATATTTTGTTTAAAAATAAAATTTTGTCGAGGTTTTTACCAAGCAGTCGTGTACGTCTTTCTTCCAGAATTCTGCCTGACACAGAAAAAACTCTTTCTCTAGTTGCTGAGCTAGTTGGTGTGTTTAAAATTTGTCTTGAAAGACTTCTAAGAAAGGGCAAATCTTTAGCTTTCTCCCAAAATTTTAAAACATCCTCACAACTTTTGTTTTCCGATACTTTCAAATAAATCTGTATTTCCGTATTAATTTCTTCAAAAACTGTTTCTACAGATTCATTTGTCGCATCTTTGAATTCGTCAAAAGTTGCACGGGTTATTGCCTTTTCGAGGTAGAAGGAATGTCATCATCCAAAATCTGGAAATCGTGCTGAGGGCGAGCGCTCTTTTCTTCAAGTGCATGTCTACCTAAGTTATCTTCAAGCATTGCCTTTACTGTCCCTATTATATGTTCGCGCTGTTCTGCTGATAAAAACTGTAACTTTTTAAACGGAGGATTTAAAAACAATCCCAGAAAATGCATTGAACTTGGTTGGAATCTTTTATTTAAAGACACAGCTATGTTTTTCTTCAAATCGATGATGACTTCGGAATCAGATGCATTCACTTCACAATGCTTTTGTAGTTTTTTTGTTCCACAGAACGTAGTCATGGATGGTTGGATTTAAATCCGCGCGATTACATTAGCTTTTAATTGAAAATCTTCAATGACACTACGTGCTGTTAATGTCAAAAAACTCCTTTGGGTGTATTTGTCGGTCCACATATCCGTTTTAAATGATAAACAATTATTTTTTAAAACACATTCCAAACTGGATTTAATTTGTTTTTACTCAGCTGGTACGAACTTTCGAGCAAGGCTCCGTCTGCTTGGCCAGATATCGTCAATATCCTGTCTTCCGTACTGCGCTCCTATGTCAATAAGAGTTGGGCAAATTCCTTAAAACCAGCTCCTGTAAGTTGTCATATTAAATACAACTTATTTATTATTAAGAAATTTATTTGATAAGACAACTTTTCTAGGTACTTATACGCACTTATACTATGTTCTGACCTACAACGAAAACACTTTGACAACAGTTCAAAATGGCTCCTCGACGAGTATGGTCGTGCTGACCTGTCGAGTACTTTTAAAGCAAATATTGGATTATTATACACCGAAATAATGAAGTCGTTTCATTAAATATATCGTATAAAGTTTTAATTCAAGTGAAGATAATACCTTAAAATAATAATTACATAAAAAATGTAATAGACGTTGACTTAAAGAAAATTAATATCACAATTTAATGGAAATGTTAAAGCGTACCGTTTAAACGGTACTATCGTACATGCAAATTAACTGAAATGAAAAATATACACATATATGCATAACTGTTCCAAGAAACGGACCAAGTAACAGTTCAAAGAAAAATATTTTTGTACTTCTAATATTGGAAATTATAACCTAAAAATATTTTGACGAATAACAATAAAAGTATCAAATTGGAGGAATAACCTGACGATATGAGGACGTAGTTCCCTGTCATCAAAATACAATCAATTATCAAACTGGAGGAATAACCTGGCGACATGAAGACTTAGTTCCCAATCTGAATAATATATTTTGACATATAACCAATAATTCTTAAACTAGAGGAATAACCTGGTTACTTGTGGACCATTAAAACACAATACACATTTTTAATTGATATAAATGATAAAGAATTGAAAATTATATGACGCATGATACAAATATTAGCAGAAACTTTTGCACGTGGTTCTGGCCCTCAGTGGTATTACCATATGTGTATCAGTGGAGCAACTTTTGGACGCATCAGTGGAATATAACATATACATATGAAGATATATATTAAAAGCAGAGGAATAACCTGGCGATGGTGAAAACCTGCCAACCTACCCAAAGTTCAAAAAAAAAAAAAACGCTTTGAAAACGAGTTTTGGGGATTGTGGGCTGGAGGCTGTTCACAAAGGTTGTTAGTGTTTTCGTTGACATTTCTTACATCTTTTGATTGCAGTTTTGCTACACAAAAACAAAACCAAAACACTTTTCCTTCATTTTCTTTTCATTCACAACCTTTAACTTTCATTCTTATATTGCTTTGGCCAGGGAATTAACAATAAATCCGAAATGGCGTATTAAAGATGATACAGTATGACTTCCACTGCGATAAATAATCGAAAATACCTAGCGAAGACACCGATTGGAATGAGTGGAACGTGAGTTTTCAAGTAGTTTTCAGCGAAAACTGGTTTTCGTTTGGCAGATTTTACATGGACGAAAACACAAGTTTTATACCATGTTCTGACCGACATCGAAAACATGTTTTCGTTGCTAAAACTGTAATAATTGTGAACTGTTATCACCAGGCTGAATGTCACGACCACATGCTAATCACAGTAGAGGAATATGACGCCAGGCCATTATCATTTTTGCAGTCAAGGCGTGTAAAACAATCACATTTCCGAACGACAATAAGAAGTCTTTTTAAAGCTAAAATAAGTGGAATTTATTATTAATAAACGTAAAATGTAACATGGTGTTAGAAGTGGAAGTAACATCCTCATTGGGCGAAAAAGTAACAATTGTGATTCTCGGAATATAAGCGGATTTTGCAAAGAAAATTCATCATTCTCGGAAATAGCGGCGTGCATGTTCAAACGGGAAGTAACTCCTTGGATTGTGTTAAGTAATTGGATTTGGAGTAAAGTTATCGGATTGAGGCAACGAAGTTAATTTCTGCGGGTTAGTTAATTGGAGTGACAACTTTTAGCCGGGCGTAATATCTGAATATACCACAAACTCACAAAATGGCTGACGAATGTCAAAATCGCACACCACAAGTACAAATATTGCAACAGAGTGGCCAAAATGGAAGCAACAATTCACAGTTTGGATGATCGCTAATGGAAAAATGGGCAGACCGGATAACGAGAAAATAGCAATATTCATTTGGCTACTGGGTGAACAAGGAATTGCTATTTATAACACTTTGTATCCAAATGATGGGGCAGAAAAGTCAATGCTTGGAATTGATATGTCGGCACCAACAGAGGAAACCCCAGACGCGGTTCAGCAACGCACGTTAAATGAGGTAATGAAATCATTTGATGAGTTTTGTGTGCCAAGAAAAAATATTGCGATGGAGTCCTACAAATTTAATATGATTTCACAAAAAGAAAGACAATCGTTCACCGAGTTTGAGACTGAGTTGCGCAAACAGATTCAATATTGTGAGTTCAAAAGTGATTGTGGTAAACGATATGAAGACAGAATGTTACGTGATCGCATCATTGTGGGAGTTCATGACAAAAAATTACAATTAAAATTATTGGATGGTCGTGATGAGACATTGGCCAAAGTCGTTGATACGTGTAAGGTGTTTGAAGCACTAACCAACACAAGCAAATGTTAGATACAAAGCAACAAGTGGCAACCATTGCAGAGGAAGGAAAACCGCATGTAAACGCGATTAGCCAAACGAAACGTTTCTGCTTCAATTGTGGACAATCATGGGATGCTCAACACAAAATGGTTTGCAAAGCAAAAGAGATTGCATGTCGGATTTGTACAAAACAGGGGCATTTCGCCAGCATGTGTCGCCAAAAAGGAAAGAATCCACAGCAAAAAGGAGCTCAGCACAATGCAAAACCAACAATCAGCAGCTTGCCGTGGGGTGACATAGCAGGTAAAGTAGCTTGTTGTGGTAACAGTATTAGAAACACGCTTACATTAGCTACACACGACGAGCATATCCGCGCACATGCGCACATGCTCGTCGTTTGTAGGGCGGTTTGGGCGCATGCTCGCCAAAAATCAAAAAATTTTGATTTTCAGCGAGCATGCTCGTCGTTTGTAGCGTGGTTTGCGAGCATTGCATTGGAAACAAAAACAACAACCTCATTTTGTGTTGATGCTTGCAGTGTGCATATCGCGGATAAATGCATCCAAGCCATGTGCGTTAATTGAATTTTTGATAAATGAGGCTAAATTACTATATGTATATGTATGTACATACATATAAGTAAAATATAAATAAATTTAAGTAACACATACATAAAAAACCCTAAGTCATAAGTATTTCAATTGCATCATCCGCGTCTTTCCTTTCCATGTTTACGCTTTGAGTACAAAATCACTTATGAGCCGCTCGCCGTTTGTAGCAAACGACAGCCAGCATGTTGGCGCACATGTGCGCGGATATGCTCGTCGTGTGTAGCTACTGTTAGTAATAAAATTGATTTTAGAATAAACTCTTGTGAATTGAATCGAAGAAATTGGACTAAGGAATATCAGATAGGACATGAAGTAGTTAAGTTCAAAATTGATACAGGAGCTGACGTCAATTGTATTCCAGTAAAGTTAGTTAAGAAAATGAATGTTGAGTTAAAAAATCAAGAAAATTATTTTCCTGTATTCGATTATAGCAATAATAGAGTTAAGAATTTTGGGACAGTAAACTTGAAATGCGTTGATTTAAAAACAAAGATAGAACAAGATATATATTTTTTGGTTGTCAATGATACATATGAGCCGATACTGGGATTGAACTCCTGCTTAGAATTGGGAATAGTTAAACGGATTGATATTGATAAAATTACATTGCCGAAAGCAACTGAGTCATTTGTTGAACAATACAAAGATGTATTCACGGGATTTGGTAAATTCCCGGGTGAGTATAAAATCTATATAAAGGAAAATTCGAAGCCCGTGCTTCACTATAGGAAACGGATACCGCTATCATTAATGGGTAAATTACAGACAGAACTTGGGAAGATGTTGCGGGATGAAATCATTTCACCTGTGGACTATCCAACTGACTGGGTCAATAAAATTTACAAATTGTTGAAAAACCAAATGGTACGCTACGTATTTGTCTTGATCCAAAGCCACTTAACGCATGTATTAAGCGGGAATACTTCGTGATTCCGACAATTGAGGACCTAACTTCTGGTCTAGCAAATGCCGAAGTATTTTCAGTGATTGATTTAAAAAGTGGGTATTGGCACATGTCACTTGACAGGGCCACATCAGATTTAACAACATTCATGACTCCATTTGGACTATTCAAATTTAATCGGTTGTCGTTTGGTCTCAATTGTGCACCTGAAATGTTTCAACGGACAATGATACAATTATTTGGAGACATCTCTGGAGTGTGCATTTATTTTGATGACATTTTAATATATGCAGAAAGTGTGGAAGAACATGATAAAATTTTGAAATTGGTTATGGACCGGGCTCGGAAAAATAATGTGAAATTTAACTCAGAAAAAATTCAATATCGAAAAGAGTCAGTGAAATTTATGGGAAGCATAATTTCGAAGAATCAAATTAGAATTGGTAGAAAATATTGTGAAGCAATTCTGGGGATGGGGAGACCAAAAGACAAAGCGGGAGTTTTACGTTTTCTGGGGCTATTAAAATATTTAGCCCGTTTTATTCCAAATTTATCACAAATAACAGCTGAATTGAGACAGCTAACAAGATTCGATGTTGATTTTCGTTGGACTGACAAACACGAAGAAGAATTTAGAAATTTATTAAAGATTGTTTCATCTGAGCCGGTTTTGGCAATTTATGATCCGAAGTTGCCAGTAGTTGTTCAAACTGATGCATCTAAAGATGGATTGGGTTGTGTGATAATGCAGATGGGACACCCAATTGGGTTTGCGTCTCGAACATTAACAAAGAGTGAACAAAAGTGGGCACAAATTGAGAAGGAATTATTGGCCATTGTTTTCGCGTGCCAACGATTTCATTATTTACTATATGGCCGTGAGTTCACAGTTGAAAGTGATCACAAACCATTGGAAACATTAGTTAAACGAGACATTGATGATGTGACAATGCGACTTCAACGCATGTTTATGTTTTTATTGAAATACCCACAGATGAATGTGATTTATAAACCAGGAAAAGAAATGTTGATCTCTGACTGTCTATCACGTGCTCAATTATTAGAAGAGGATGAATTGGAGGGCCTCTCTGGGGTCATTCACTCCGTTATTAAATCGGTGTGCTTATCGAAAGAAAACTTAAAACATTATCGAGAAGTTTTACAAACAGACGAAAGTTATAGCCGGGTTTGTAAATACGTTGAAAACGGGTGGCCAAATTTTCATCAATTATGCGATTTGGGTCAACATTTTTATAAATTGAAAACGGAACTTCATGTTGAACAAGGGTTGTTATTTTTAGATCATAGACTTGTGATACCTACAAAATTGCAAGGCAAACTTAAAAAATCGTTACACGACCCACATTTGGGCATTGAAAAGACAGGAGCACTAGCAAGAAAGTTGTATTATTGGCCTGGGATGAATGATCAAATAAAAGAAATGGTTAAATCATGTATTGTTTGTGAAAAATTTCATCGGAACCATCAAAACGAGACATTGACTCAGGAAAAATCACCAAGGTATCCGTTTCATATAGTGGCGATGGATCTCTTTGAATATGCGGGACGTGAGTTCATTGCTATTATTGATTCATACTCAAATTATCTTATTTCTATTTCGCTTAGCAACAAAACATCACGTCATATTATAGAAGAAATTACTAGGGTATTTTGCAAAATTGGGTTACGAACAATTATCAAATGTGATAATAGCCCTTTCGGATCTCGAGAATTTGAAAACTTTGCATCAGAATTTAATATTATATTTAAATTTTCAAGCCCACGGTATCCCCAAAGTAATGGCCTAGCAGAAAAAGGCGTGGCAATTGCTAAAAATATCTTAAAACGATGCTATGAGGCAAATGATTCTGGATCATATCAATATCGGATATTGGAATATAACACAACTCCGGTGGCAAGTATGCAATTGTCCCCGGCGGAATTATTTTTTGGGCGGTTAATCAAAACAAAATTACCAGTATCGGAGGCATTGTTGGTCAGAAACAACATAAAAGAGGAATTAATTCGAAAAAAAATTGAAAATAAAAAAGAAAGACAGAAATATTACTATAATAGGAACGCTAAATCATTACCGGGATTGAAAACAGGAGATTTGGTTATTAAAAAAAAAACTCCAAAGAGTGCAAAATGGCACAATAATCGGTAGTCAATGATCGGTCATACATAATTCGTGATAATTTTTATAATCAGTTCAGACGTAATCGTCGTGCAAAAACAAAAAACTCTGATTTCAATGCCAGCGATTTATTATTTGAAGAAAACATTATATGTAACGCGGATCAGAACTGTCCTGAAATTCAAATAGTACCACCAATAAATAGTGGTCACGCAAAAGACAATACTCATCATGAGCAAAATTGTAATGTGGAAGAATCTCCACTGCCAGCAGTAGCGGGTGAGTCCACATCAGATGATGAATACAATACTGCTGGTAGTGGTGAATCTGAAGCAACGTCAGACACTGAAGTTGGTCCAGCTGTGCCTGTGAATAATTTCAAAACCACACGAAGTGGGAGGGTGGTTCGACCACCCAGAAGGTTGTGTTGTGAGGATTAATGGTCCATGATTAGTTTTGATTTAAAATTAAAAAAAAAAAAAAAAAAGCGTGTAATAATTGTGAACTGTTATCACCAGGCTGAATGTCACGACCACATGCTAATCACAATAGAGGAATATGACGCCAGGCCATTATCATTTTTGCAGTCAAGGCGTGTAAAACAATCACATTTCCGAACGACAATAAAAAGACTTTAAAGCTAAAAAATTGGAATTTATTATTAATAAACGTAAAATGTAACAAAAACTGGTTTTCAACCTAAAACATGTGTTTTCGACCATGTAAAATCTGTCAAACGGAAACCAGTTTTCGCTGAAAACTACTTGAAAACTCATGTTCCACTCATTCCAATCGGTGTCTTCACTAGTTTTTTTCGATTATTTATCGAAGTGGAAGTCATATTTTCTCATCTTTAATACGCTATTTCGTATTTATTGTTAATTGGCTGGCCAAACTAAAATAAGAATGAAAGTAAGAGGTTGCTAATGAGAAGAAAATGTGGGAAAAGCATTTTGGTTTTGTTTTTGTGTAGCAAAACTGCAATCAGAGGATGTAAGAAATGTCAACGAAAACACTAACAGCCGGTGTGAACAGCCTTCAGCCCACAATTCCAAAACTCGTTTTCAAAGTGTTTTCGTTGTCGGTCAGAACATGGTATTAGGTGGAAAACCAGTTTTAGCTGCGAAAACATGTTTTCGATGTCGGCCAGAACATGGTATTACAAAAATTCCCACCCAGCTAAAAATGGTAGTGTTGTTCAAAACACCATCATAAATGAAATTTAAAAAGTCCTCATCGATGTGATACCTGAAAAAAAGTTACTCGGGGTCAATGGTCACAAAAACGGGGTTTTCGCGATTTTCAGCAAAACGGTAAGTTTATCATAAAATTAGTTTAGACAAAAATTGTAGATCAGATAATTATCTATAAAAAATGCTCAAATATTTTTTTTCCTAAGAGCCACCGTTTCCGAGATATAACGATTCAAAAAGTTTAAAGAGTTGTAATCGGTATAATATGTATAAGTACAACAAAGGTGGAGTGGAAACGTGTGCATATTATGACGATTACAACTCTTCCAACTTTTTGAANGAACAATTATCAAATGTGATAATAGCCCTTTCGGATCTCGAGAATTTGAAAACTTTGCATCAGAATTTAATATTATATTTAAATTTTCAAGCCCACGGTATCCCCAAAGTAATGGCCTAGCAGAAAAAGGCGTGGCAATTGCTAAAAATAT